TACTGAGGGACACAGAATTGTTACTGAGGGCCACAGAATTGTTACAGACAGAATTGTTGTTACTCAGGGCCACAGAATTGTTACTCAGGGACAGACACAGAATTGTTACTGAGGGCCACAGAATTGTTACTGAGGGCCACAGAATTGTTACTGAGGGCCACAGAACCGTTACTTAGGGCCACAGAATTGTTACTCAGGGACACAGAATTGTTACTGAGGGCCACAGAAATTGTTACTTAGGGCCACAGAATTGTTACTCAGGGACACAGAATTGTTACTGAGGGACACAGAAATTGTTACTCAGGGCCACAGAATTGTTACTCAGGGACAGACACAGAATTGTTACTCAGGGACAGACACAGAATTGTTACTCAGGGACACAGAATTGTTACTCAGGGACACAGAATTGTTACTCAGGGACACAGAATTGTTACTCAGGGACACAGAATTGTTACTCAGGGACAGACACAGAATTGTTACTCAGGGGGACAGACACAGAATTGTTACTTACAGAATTGTTACTCAGGGACACAGAATTGTTACTGAGGGCCACAGAATTGTTACTCAGGGCCACAGAATTGTTACTCAGGGCCACAGAATTGTTACTGAGGGGGACAGACACAGAATTGTTACTCAGGGACACAGAATTGTTACTCAGGGACACAGAATTGTTACTCAGGGACACAGAATCGTTGAATTAAAGAGTATGTCAGACAACATGCAGAGGAGTGGCAGAGGAGGCAATGTTTTAGGAGCGAGCAGACGTGGCAGCAGAGGAAGGGGTCGAGGCAGCACTATTCGCAGCCAGAGGCCAGTGCTCCCGGTGTCATCCAGCGGTCGTTTCTCCACCGACAACCCTGCCGTCATCGATTGGTTGGCTCGGTCGTCTTCCTCTTCCCAGGTCACCTCTGACACCTACAGCCAACGGTCGGTGGGTACGTCAGACACAACCGTTAGTTGGCATGGCCCGGGACCAAGCCCACTGAAATCACGTGTCCTCTACCTGCCCCTGTCCTTTGGTGTTCCCTCACCAAGCGAAGTATCGCATGCTGTGGGCTCAGCCCCACTGTACAGTGAGGAAGAGCTAACAGAGGGCGGTCAGGAACGGGGGGAGACATCCGCCTTTTCAGCAGCCAGGCGAAGAAGTACTGGCGAGGAGAGTGGCTCGGTAGCCGGTCTAGAGACAGGTCTGTCTCCTGACCCACACGCAGCCGAGGGGGCTAGTAGTGAGGCGGAGACCCTACTTGATGATGAGGAGGTTGATCGCACTTGGCAGCCTCGTCGTCATCAGGCTAATTTCTTCCGCATCATCAGGAGAAGAGGGTGGCAGCTTGGCAGCGAGCGAAAAAAACAGTCGGTGGGTTGCCCAGGAGGCAGCAGGGTCGCAGCAGTGTCAGTGGAGCAAACGGCCACGGAGTAGAGAGCACCAGCTCCACTGCAGCCTACCACCACGGCCAGTAGTGGTGCCGGTGTGCACGGAGGAAGCAGCAGTCAGCCAGTGAGGAGTATCGGGGGCAAAGTTTCCTACTCGGCGGTGTGGCAATTTTTCGTGTCAAGCCGCCCGAGGAAGTAAACGTAGCCGTATGTCGACTATGTGGCCAGAAAGTCAAGCGTGGCCAGGGGGCCCATGTTGGGACTACAGCGTTGCGGCAGCATATGCAGCGTCGCCATTTGGTGGCCTGGGAAAACCGTGATAAAGATACGGCGGTTCTGCCCGCCCCAGCCCCCGCTCCATCACCCGCTCCGTTACTTGCTCCGTCACCCGACGTCAATCGCCCTCCATCAGCCAGTCAAGGCTCCAACACCTCTGCTGAGGGGAGTTGTCGCTCGTTGGCATCTTCCGCTCGTTCAGATGCTCCTTCTCCTGCTACTCCTCTTCACGGATTCCGTCAGCAGTCTTTCTTGGAATCCGTTTCCAAGAGACAACAGTTTGCGAGCACGCACCCGACGGTGCAAAAAGCTGAACGTCCTCCTGTCCAAGTTGCTGGTGCTGCAGTCCCTCCCTTTCCAAGTGGTGGACTCAGCACCTTTCCGAGAAATGATGGCTTGTGCCGCGCCGCGGTGGAGAGTGCCAAGCCGTCATTTCTTCGCCAAAAAGGCAGTGCCAGCCCTGCATTCACATGTAGAAGAGATGGTGGGCCAGTCTTTGAGCATGTCGGTCTCTGCCAAAGTGCACGGCAGCGCCGACGTGTGGAGCTGTAACTACGGTCAGGGACAGTACATGTCATTTACGGCCCACTGGGTGAACGTGGTGCCGCCACAGCCGCACCAGCAACTTGGACAGGTCACGCCGCTTTTGCCTCCACGTTTGCACGTCCTTGGTCCGGCAAAGATGTCCGCCTCTACCACCTCTTCTTCCGCCGTGTCCTCAGCCGCCACCCCCGTGCCAAGTCCCATTACCCGACCGGCATATCACATGTGCAGGGCGCAACGGTGTCACGCTGTGCTGCACCTGGTATGCCTTGGCGAACGTAGTCACACAGGGGAGGAACTTCTCAGTGTAATGAACAGAGAAATCGACAGATGGCTGTCTCCGCGCAAACTGAAAATCGGAACCATGTTGACCGACAACGGAAAAGAACATGGTGTCTGCTCTGCGTCAAGGAAGGTTGTGCCATGCGCCATGCATGGCTCACGTGTTCAATCTGGTTGTCAAGCGGTTCCTAAAATCCACCATCCCACTGCAAGACATCCTTAAAATGTCACGTAAACTTTGCATGCATTTCAGCCATTCCTACACCGCAAAGCACACCCTCCTTGAGCTGCAGCGGCAGAACGGAATTCAACAGCATCGCCTGATCTGCGACGTTGCAACAAGGTGGAATTCAACCCTACACATGTTAGACCGCCTTTACGAACAGCGAAAGGCCATCACCGATTTCCTGATGTTACAAGCGGATAAAGGTACTCCCCTGTGTAACTTCGATGTCAGCCATTGGCAGCTCATGCGTGACACCTGCCGCTTGCTCAGGCCCTTTGAGGAGGCCACGCTATTCGTGAGTCGGCAGGACTATGGGATGAACGACGTCATTCCTCTGTTGCACGTCCTGGAACAAATGCTGTTAACAATGGCTGGTCAGGGGTGCGGTAGACGTGGCGCACAGATCTCAACGCCACATGACCCCTGTGGGGGCAGGACAGGAAGAAGAGGAGGAGGTAGAGGAGGACATTTGTGCTCAGGAATTATTGAGTGAAATGGGTGGTTTTTCCACTCAGCGGACAGGAGTGGAGGAGCAGGAGCATCTGGTAGAGGAGGAGGAGGAGGAGACAGAGGACCCAGACGCACCGTGGCAGTATGCTGTGGAGATGGAGGCAGGGAGTCCCTCGCATTCCTTGGCACAAATGGCCCATAGCATGCTCGGTTGCTTGCGTAGCGACAGCCGAATAATAACCATCAGACAGAGGGATGACTTTTGGCTGTCCACCTTGTTGGACCCTCGCTACCGTTCAAAAATGGTGGCCTTTTTCACACCTGCTGAGAGGGAGGCCAAAATAACGTACTATAAAAAACCACCTATGTAGTCAGTTGGTCTCTGCCTTTGTGCGCCAACGTCCATCCTCAGACACTGTGGGCCCTGTGCGCTCGCGTTCCGCTGCCATGGCAGCAGGGGAGGGGTGGGGTGGTAGGAGCAGTGGCAGCTCCACCAGCAGCGGCTGCCTCAGTCTGCAGTCGATGATGAGTAGCTTTCTTCACCAGCGCAGTGAGGAAACTACTAACCAGCCCGCAGCAGCAGCAGCAGCATCAGGTGGACCTGGAGCAGGACCTCAAACAACAGGCTTGGGCCTACTTGGACAGCACCCTGCCAACCGAGGTAGACAATCCCCTTGACTACTGGGCAACGAAACTTGACCTTTGGCCCCAACTAGCTGAATTTGCCCTTGAAAGGCTGTCATGCCCGGCCAGTAGCGTGGCATCGGAGCGCGTGTTTAGTGCGGCAGGAGGTATTGTAACTCCGCGGAGGACACGACTGTCCACCCAAAGTGTGGAGAGACTCACGTTTGTGAAAATGAATCAGGCGTGATTAGTCTGGATTTCAAACCACCAGTTCCTGACACAACTGACTAAATCCGCCATGAATCATGCCCCAAACATGTGCCACTTTCAGGTCTCCTCACACTGCTGGTGTGTTTCCATTTTTTGTCATAGGGTGCTGGCAGATTACGGGCCTCCCATAGCTGCTGCCAGGCCCCTAATCTGCCATGGGCCCCTATACCGCCTCCTCATGCTGCTGCCAGGTCCAGAGTCTCTCATGGGTCCCTGTACGGCTCCCATTGCTGCTGTCTCCATCGCCACACTCTGCCATGTGCCACTTTCAGGTCTCCTCACACTGCTGGTGTGTTGAATTTTTTGACATAGGGTGCTGGCAGATTACGGGCCTCCCATAGCTGCTGCCAGGCCCCTAATCTGCCATGGGCCCCTGTACCGCCTCCTCATGCTGCTGCTGCAGGTCCAGAGTCTCTCATGGGTCCCTGTACGGTGTCTCATGCCCATGTGCCACTTTCAGGTCTCCTCACACTGCTGGTGTGTTGAATTTTTTGACATAGGGTGCTGGCAGATTACGGGCCTCCCATAGCTGCTGCCAGGCCCCTAATCTGCCATGGGCCCCTATACCGCCTCCTCATGCTGCTGCCAGGTCCAGAGTCTGTCATGGGTCCCTGTACGGCCTCCCATTGCTGCTGTCTCCATCGCCACACTCTGCCATGTGCCACTTTCAGGTCTCCTCACACTGCTGGTGTGTTGAATTTTTTGACATGGGTGCTGGCAGATTACGGGCCTCCCATAGCTGCTGCCAGGCCCCTAATCTGCCATGGGCCCCTGTACCGCCTCCTCATGCTGCTGCCAGGTCCCAGGTCCACAGTGTCTCATGCCACCATGTGCCACTTTCAGGTCTCCTCACACTGCTGGTGTGTTAAATTTTTTGTCATAGGGTGCTGGCAGATTACGGGCCTCCCATAGCTGCTGCCAGGCCCCTAATCTGCCATGGGCCCCTATACCGCCCTCATGCTGCTGCCAGGTCCAGAGTCTCTCATGGGTCCCTGTACGGCCTCCCATTGCTGCTGTCTCCATCGCCACACTCTGCCATGTGCCACTTTCAGGTCTCCTCACACACTGCTGGTGTGTGTTCATTTTTTGACATAGGGTGCTGGCAGATTACGGGCCTCCCATAGCTGCTGCCAGGCCCCCTAATCTGCCATGGGCCCCTGTACCGCCGCCTCCTCATGCTGCTGCCAGTCCAGAGTCTCTCATGGGTCCCTGTACGGCCTCCCATTGCTGCTGTCTCCATCGCCACATGCCATGTGCCACTTTCAGGTCTCCTCACACTGCTGGTGTGTTCAATTTTTTGACATAGGGTGCTGGCAGATTACGGGCCTCCCATAGCTGCTGCCAGGCCCCTAATCTGCCATGGGCCCCTATACCGCCTCCTCATGCTGCTGCCAGGTCCAGAGTCTCTCATGGGTCCCTGTACGGCCTCCCATTGCTGCTGTCTCCATCGCCACACTCTGCCATGTGCCACTTTCAGGTCTCCTCACACTGCTGGTGTGTTGAATTTTTTGACATTAGGGTGCTGGCAGATTACGGGCCTCCCATAGCTGCTGCCAGGCCCCTAATCTGCCATGGGCCCCTGTACCGCCTCCTCATGCTGCTGCCATCCAGAGTGTCTGCTGGGTCCCAGGTCCATTGCTGCTGTCTCATCGCACACTCTGCCATGTGCCACTTTCAGGTCTCCTCACACTGCTGGTGTGTTGAATTTTTTGACATAGGGTGCTGGCAGATTACGGGCCTCCCATAGCTGCTGCCAGGCCCCTAATCTGCCATGGGCCCCTATACCGCCTCCTCATGCTGCTGCCAAGTCCAGAGTCTCTCATGGGTCCCTGTACGGCCTCCCATTGCTGCTGTCTCCATCGCCACACTCTGCCATGTGCCACTTTCAGGTCTCCTCACACTGCTGATGTGTTGAATTTTTTGACATAGGGTGCTGGCAGATTACGGGCCTCCCATAGCTGCTGCCAGGCCCCTAATCTGCCATGGCCCCCCTGTACCGCCTCCTCATGCTGCTGCCAGGTCCACAGTGTCTCATGCCATGTGCCACTTTCAGGTCTCCTCACACTGCTGTGTGTGTTAAATTTTTTGACATAGGGTGCTGGCAGATTACGGGCCTCCCATAGCTGCTGCCAGGCCCCTAATCTGCCATGGGCCCCTATACCGCCTCCTCATGCTGCTGCCAGGTCCAGAGTCTCTCATGGGTCCCTGTACGGCCTCCCATTGCTGCTGTCTCCATCGCCACACTCTGCCATGTGCCACTTTCAGGTCTCTCACACTGCTGGTGTGTTCCAATTTTTTTTGACATAGGGTGCTGGCAGATTACGGGCCTCCCATAGCTGCTGCCAGGCCCCTAATCTGCCATGGGCCCCTGTACCGCCTCCTCATGCTGCTGCTGCTGCCAGGTCCCACAGTGTCTCATGCCATGTGCCACTTTCAGGTCTCCTCACACTGCTGGTGTGTTAAATTTTTTGACATAGGGTGCTGGCAGATTACGGGCCTCCCATAGCTGCTGCCAGGCCCCTAATCTGCCATGGGCCCCCTATACCGCCTCCTCATGCTGCTGCCAAGTCCAGAGTCTCTCATGGGTCCCTGTACGGCCTCCCATTGCTGCTGTCTCCATCGCCACACTCTGCCATGTGCCACTTTCAGGTCTCCTCACACTGCTGGTGTGTTGAATTTTTTGACATAGGGTGCTGGCAGATTACGGGCCTCCCATAGCTGCTGCCAGGCCCCTAATCTGCCATGGGCCCCTATGTATGCCGCCTCCTCATGCTGCTGCCAGGTCCACAGTGTCTCATGCCATGTGCCACTTTCAGGTCTCCTCACACTGCTGGTGTGTTCAATTTTTTGACATAGGGTGCTGGCAGATTACGGGCCTCCCATAGCTGCTGCCAGGCCCCTAATCTGCCATGGGCCCCCTAGTACCGCCTCCTCATGCTGCTGCCAGGTCCAGAGTCTGTCATGGGTCCCTGTACGGCCTCCCATTGCTGCTGTCTCCATCGCCACACTCTGCCATGTGCCACTTTCAGGTCTCCTCACACACTGCTGGTGTGTTCCATTTTTTGTCATAGGGTGCTGGCAGATTACGGGCCTCCCATAGCTGCTGCCAGGCCCCTAATCTGCCATGGGCCCCTGTACCACCTCCTCATGCTGCTGCAGGTCCAGAGTCTGTCATGGGTCCCTGTACGGCCTCCCATTGTCTCATGCCACTCTGCCATGTGCCACTTTCAGGTCTCCTCTCACACTGCTGGTGTGTTCCAATTTTTTGACATAGGGTGCTGGCAGATTACGGGCCTCCCATAGCTGCTGCCAGGCCCCTAATCTGCCATGGGCCCCTATACCGCCTCCTCATGCTGCTGCCAGTCCAGAGTCTCTCATGGGTCCCTGTACGGCCTCCCATTGCTGCTGTCTCCATCGCCACACTCTGCCATGTGCCACTTTCAGGTCTCCTCACACTGCTGGTGTGTTGAATTTTTTGACATTGGGTGCTGGCAGATTACGGGCCTCCCATAGCTGCTGCCAGGCCCCTAATCTGCCATGGGCCCCTGTACCGCCTCTCATGTGCTGCTGTCCCATGGGTCCCTGTACGGCCTCCCAGCTGTCTCCATCGCCACACTCTGCCATGTGCCACTTTCAGGTCTCCTCACACACTCTGCTGGTGTGTTGAATTTTTTGACATAGGGTGCTGGCAGATTACGGGCCTCCCATAGCTGCTGCCAGGCCCCTAATCTGCCATGGGCCCCTATACCGCCTCCTCATGCTGCTGCCAAGTCCAGAGTCTGTCATGGGTCCCTGTACGGCCTCCCATTGCTGCTGTCTCCATCGCCACACTCTGCCATGTGCCACTTTCAGGTCTCCTCACACTGCTGGTGTGTTGAATTTTTTGACATGGGTGCTGGCAGATTACGGGCCTCCCATAGCTTCTGCCAGGCCCCGTAATCTGCCATGGGCCCCTGTACCGCCTCCTCATGCTGCTGCCGCCAGGTCCACAGTACGGTCTCTGCCATGTGCACACTTTCAGGTCTCCTCACACTGCTGGTGTGTTCAATTTTTTGACATAGGGTGCTGGCAGATTACGGGCCTCCTATAGCTGCTGCCAGGCCCCTAATCTGCCATGGGCCCCTATACCGCCCTCCTCATGCTGCTGCCATGTCCAGAGTCTCTCATGGGTCCCTGTACGGCCTCCCATTGCTGCTGTCTCCATCGCCACACTCTGCCATGTGCCACTTTCAGGTCTCCTCACACACTGCTGGTGTGTTCCAATTTTTTTGACATAGGGTGCTGGCAGATTACGAGGGCCTCCCATGCTGCTGCCAGGCCCCCTAATCTGCCATGGGCCCCTATATACCGCCTCCTTCATGCTGCTGCCAGGTCCAGAGTCTCTCATGGGTACCTGTACGGCCTCCCATTGCTGCTGTCTCTATCGCCACACTTGCCATGTGCCACTTTCAGGTCTCCTCACACTCCTGCTGGTTTCCATTTTGTCATAGGTTCAGTGGTGACATGGGTCCCTTGTACCGCCTCCCATTTGCTCCCACTCTGCCATGTGCCACTTTGAGGTCTCCTCACACTCCTGGTGGTTTCCATTTTGTCATAGGTTGCTGTATGGCCTCCCATTGCTGCTGCCTCCACCGCCACACTGTGGCTCCAAACACTGGTTTTGGCCCCGTGACTGCCCAAATGAGTGAAGTGTGCGGGTGGTGATTCTAAGATCGACGGCACTCATTTGCATGTCATACTGACTGACGTATTATTTCTCTTCCCCAGCAGACTCCAAGGGACATTTTTAAATTAAAGGTACAGTGTTCTTGCACTAATATTAAGTCTCTTTTGCTCAGCCCGATTGGAGGGGATGTTTTGTTTTTGCAAGACAAACCCCTTTAATTTCCTGACCGATTTACATCGGAAGAGAGTGGGGAAAGTGGCCCCCTTTTTGGTCTCTTTGGCTGGGCCTTACAGGGAGTTTCGGTACTTTTTTCCTGCATGTCGGGGGTAACGTGTCGGTGGGGCCCTTGAGGTGGAGAGGAAGGTTTTGGGCCTGACGTCCTTGTGAAGGGGCAGGAATTATGTCTTATTAATATATACGGTCTCCATCTAGTTGGGGCGGAAAATGCCCTTTTCACAAAGATTAACCTTTTCCCTTTTTTGTCCCGGGAGGTTTCTTTGGGGGTGATTTTTAACACCACACTAGGGCCAAAAACCGGAAAGGCTCCACTGACAGGCTGGGGTATCCCGCGTTTTTTTAAATCATAGTCAGGGAAGCGGTCGGGGGATGCCCCGATTTAAATGTAGCCCCCGGGCAGCACGGGGGGTTTACTTTTAGAAAGTAGATGGAGAGAAAAATGTAGGTTTTTTTTTTAAAAGGGGGGCCTGCTTTTCTACCTAGTGTCGGGCAGGGATTTTACGACCACTTTTTTTTTGCTGTGGGTTTTTAATCCTAGATACGCCGCGAAGGAAAGGGTGTCTGGAGAAAAGAGTTTGGCTCTCTGGAGGGCGAAGAAATGAGACATCCTTTGAGGATTTTTTTTCAAGCACAGGAACCCTCCTGGATTTTTCGGCGTAAGTCGGGGGTGGGGGGACTTTCCAAAAAA